GTGGGAGATGTCTGGAGATGTCCCCACCCATGGCAGGGGCGTTGAAGCTAGATGGTGTTTAAGATATCTTTCAACTAAAACTATTCTGTGATCTGTAGGAACTGATAGGGTTCTACTACAAGAATAGAGGAGGGGAGGGGCTTGAGTTTTCTGCTGTGTTTGCACGACAGTGTACAGTAATAGGTATATGCAGTAATGTTTATGTTACATGATGTGAAATTGCTCTAAAGCTTCTACTTGCACCATGACTTTGTTTTCCTGGCTTAAATGTGCTTAATTGAAATAAAACTACAGCAAACAATAATCCTACCATCAAGTCCTCTAATTTAAGAGTGAATTAGAGCATGTTTCCTGGGCTCAGAGATTTAATAGAAGTTAGTTTTGCAACGCTTTAGTTGTATGTATCCTACCACTATTTTTCCTGAACTTTACAAGTTAAATAGAAGCATATGAGAGAAGAGGTTTCTAAGACTGCTGAATTTGGGGCATATGAAAGCTATCCTGGTTTCATGTGCAAGGAAAAGAGGTATGTCTTGGAGAGTGTCATTAGCTGTGCAGTGATGCAGGTAACAGAGAACATTTTGTGTAGTGGCAAACAAAAATGTAGCATATACATGATAACAACTGAGCTATGCTTTTAAGGATACTGATAGAACTATGTTGTTTAATGACCTAATAAATACTGATAGGTCTTCCAAGGCGGAATGACACAGGTAAAGACAAAATGTACAACAGAGTAAGAAATGACACTCGGAGGAGTAGGAAAACTTAGAAAAAGAGAAAGAAAAAGAAAAAAAAAAAAAAAACAAAACCAACAAAAAAAAGTAACGAAACATAACCTGTAAACCAACAGTAACTAGCATTTGTTGCCTTTAAGAACTCACTGTGTTAATATTTTGGCCCACCTTCCAAAGCTAGTAGTTAGAGATGTTTCTAGTGAACACGTCACAAGTCACAATAAAAATCTAGTGCCAGTCTTTGCCAGTGTGTGCTTCCAACTTTCTCCTTGATTTAATCTGTAAACAGTTTTAATCTTACAATTTCTTTTTCTGGTTTCAGTGTCTCTCTTTTGGGGGTGGGGGGAAGGGTAAGGACTTTGAATAATCCTGATGATGTATCATCATTCAAAAGAGTCATAAAAAAAGTCGTTTGGGAAAGTGCTTCTCCTCTAATGGATAGACTTTGGGAACGTGCTTATAAGCAACATTCTGCAGAATTTTTCAATTAGCATGGGAGCCAGTGAAATACAATTCATAGATATTAGGATTGTGTTTCCACCAAGGAGCACACAGGCTGACATAACTGCTTGGCTGTGAGGGGGATATGGGGTCTGGAGGCCATCAAATGACGTTTGTGAGGCCATTGATCATTTTGGTATCAGAAAGGGATTAGAGCCCAGCATTTCTGTATGGCAGTTTGATGCTTGCACCTCTATCCAACAAAGCTGCTGAGGCACTGTGTAGAGCAGTTAATGGATATGGCTTAAAAAAAATAAAGTAGTTTCTTTTTCTACTTTTCTGTTACATGAGTTAAAAAAAAAACAAAACAAAACACAACAACCAACATACCATTCAAGATACATTATATCAAATAAATACATTTTGAATACATTAATCAATAAAGGCATGTAACCTAGAAAGTGCTAATTTTCCAAGAACAATGAGATGTAATTTATCCTATTTCTGCAGCAAATGTCACTTATCTGTATTGGAAGAGTGATGATTGGAGCAATCAAGCTATGGTTTATTTTTTATCTTTTTTTTTTTTTTTTTTTTTTTTTTTTTTTTTTTTTTTTTATTAAAATAAATAATTTTTTTTTTTTTTTTTTATTAAACTATTTTTTTTTTTTTTTTTTTTTTTTTAATAACTTACCAGCCATAAGGTTTCTTTCTTCTTTTCCACACTTGGGTAGTTGAGGCTATGGCTACAAAAGTGTGCAGCAACTTTCTGAATCCTCTCCCACCAGCATAAGTAATGAAAGGCTTAAGGTACTGACCCCTCTAAATAAGCTACAGCTTATATAAAGCAGGGTGTGACCTGTGGTTGCAAGTTATTGTTGTTTTAGTAATATCCTACATAAGCATCTATTTAGGGCTGATATAATTGCACAATATTGGATCTAATTATGACTATTTAGAACTGGTGAATGGCTGAGGAAGGATTATAATCAGTATCCTGGTGTCTTCTCTACTAAGAGAAGAAAACATTCCGGACTGGATCAAACAAAGAAAATGGTCTTTAAGGAGTCAGCGGAAAGCTAGAATCATAGAATCATTTGAGTTGGAAAGGATGTTTAAAGACAATCTGGCCCAACTCCCTGCAGTGAACAGAGACACCCACAGCTCCACCAGTGCTCAGAGCCCGTCCAGCCTGACCCTGAATGCCTGCAGGGATGGGGCACCTGCCTCATCTCTATGCAGTCTGTGCAAGTGCCTCTGACCAACTTCATTTTGGTCAGATGTGTTTATGTCAGCTTACATTTCTGGAGACTGCATGAACAGAAGGCCTGATATAGATGAATATCATATACATATTCTACAACATGGAGTGTACAGTAATCTGCACAGATTTGTAATGTCACTGTAACTCAGTAGCATCGTGACTTTGCATAACATAATCTATTTATGAAAAAGACAGACCTGCCTGAAGGTCTTACAAATCACTTGGTATAACAGAGTCTTTCTTGGAGGCATATGGACCCTTGATTTTCTCATTATCTGTTCCTGACGTGCTTGTCTGTAATAAGTGTTTCTTGCATTACGAGCCATACAGCCCACTGGGAGGGTGTGATTACACAGTCACCTATGCATCAGAGGTTTCTATGAAGAATAGGGGATTGAATAGTGTCTGCCTTTACTTTTACTCGTTTTTATTTATAGTTTGGCATTCTTAATACTTCTACATTTCTCTGTAGCTGTTTGGCGTGGTGTCTTGAGCTGGACTCAGGAGGAAGCTGCAGAGCATCACGTTTTCTGCCATAAGCTCTACCCACTGTAATTACAGGCACTTCTGTGCTCTTTAAGCTGTCATGTTCTTCTGTCCTGCATCTCATGCCAGGACTTATCTAGAAACGTTCCCTGCCAATTTGTCCCAAGAGGATGTTGTGCACCATTTATTGCATACTTTCGATAGACTGTGATAGGTTAGGATAGGTTAGGATAGTGGGAAAAAGTGATCCCTTATTTTCCTTGCCTTAGTTCTTCTACCTTGTGCCTTTTTAATGTCTCTTCTGTTTTCTTTTTTTGTTTCCAGATCCATATCAAGATTGCATGCAACCAAAAAGGCAAATCAACTTTCTGCAGCTTAAATTTGTATTGAAAAGATCCAAACTAAGCCCAGGTAGTAATAACAATTGAGTGAGCACCATATTTTTTATCCATCCCTAGAGAGGCTTGATGGCTTGTTTGCACTTGGATTGATGCAAACCTGGATACATGTACAGACTGGGAATAGGACTTGAGAGCAGCCCTATGGTGAAGGAGTAAGGGATCCTGTTGGACAAAAAGCTGAATGTGAGCCAAAAGTGTGCACTTACAGCCTGGAAGACCAGTGTATCCTGGGCTGCATCAACAGAGAGCTGGCAGTGAGCTAGGAGGGGATTGTCCCCATCTGTTTTGCCCTTGTGAGGCCCCATTTTCAATACTGCATCCAGGTAAGGGGCCCCAGTGTAGGAGGGATGTGGAGCTGTTGGAGTGGGTTCAGAGGAAGGCCATGAAGATGTTCAGAGGCCTGGAGCACCTCTCCTGTGAAGACAGGCTGAGGGAGTTGGGCTTGTTTAGCTTGGAGAAGAGAAGGCTGTGGGGTGACTCATTGTACCTCCAGTACATGAAGGGAGCTTATAGGCAAGAGGGAGACTGATTACTTTCACGTGGTGATAGGACGAGGGTTCAAGGGCTTTAATCTGAAAGAGGGGACACTTAGATTGGATGTTAGGAAGAAAGTTTGTGCTCAGAGAGTGGTGAGATGCAAGAACAGATTGCCCAGAGAGGTGGTGGGTTCCCATTACTGGAGGTGTTCAAGGCTGGGTTGGATGGGGCCATGGGCAGCCTGAGCTGGTGGCAGCAACCTTGCCTACAGCAGACGGTTAGAACTAGGTGATCTTTAAGGTCCCCTCCAATCTAAGCCCTTCTATGATTCCATTTGAAAGTGTGGTTTGGGTGAGGCCTGATGCCTGGCATTGATAGGATCAGGAGCTCTCAAAAGAGACATCTGTATGCAAACACTGTGACAGAAGTGTGGAGCAGGTTCTGCCTGTGGACAACTTGTGTTGTGTTGTGATGATAAATATGTTCTTTGTGTCTAGTGACCATACAAAGTGGTGGGAAAAAAATGTTAGTTACCTCATGTTACTGAGCTTTTATATTAACGCAAGTCTCTTCCTGTGCTTCATGCTACCTGGGAGTTGGTGACATTACTGAGTTGAATATGTATGTGAATTGTCTGCTCCATTGCAGGCCTGTGCCCACAGGCTGTGGGAAGACTTTTCCTAGTCTTTGTTGGCTTTTTTCCCCATTCACAAAGTCACAGGTATCACTAGATGTTGAGCAATGGAGGAAGAAATCCACTTTGTAATGTAAGAAGCTTGTTAAATATAGGAAAAGAAACTTTCCTCAGTCTTGTGATTTCTCATAATATTTTCATGTAATGTATGTTTCGTTACAAAAGAATACAGTTATTTTAATAGCTTTTATTTATTGCTGGTAACTAGAATGAGATTATGAAGAGATTGCATTAATTATTTGATGGAAAAGTCAAAATCTGAAGCTTAATGCAATCAGTAGATTTAATGTAACAGTGAAACTATCTATACAAGGAAAGAAGGTTTATTTCTCTAGATGTCATGACAAAAAGAAAAAAGGAAGTACAGTTAGAGACTAAATAATGAAGTGCTGTAAAAGCAGAGAACTTAACTCTATTGTAATATGAGAGATCATTGTTCCCTATTTGGAGAAGAAAGTCCTGTTGTGATAATGCTGAAATAGGAGACTGACTCGATCGTGTTATGCAGGTGCTACTGCAATGGTTACAAAGCCCTTAACATGTGAAAATTTGTCACAAGAGAAGTCTACTTGCAGCTGTAAGGGCCCAGTCCTGCGGGGTGTGAATTCAAAATAAATTCTTGATCTCTCCCTTGGTGCCAGTCGTGCTAGACTGAAAACAAAACAAAAAATAATTTCATTCAGACATGTATTGTCTTTTCCTGAGATTCCCAAGAAGCAGAACTGCACGATAGCTGGGACACCAATGGGTTACTGAAGACCCAGCGCTGTGTTCACTGAGTTGTTTGGGGTTTGGGGCAGAGAAGCCAGTACTGCAGTTTAGTCTAGAACACACTGATTAAGGTTTGAATCTCTACTTCATGCTTCTGTGTTAGAACTAGATACAAGTTTGGATAGTCAGCACAGAAAATTGGAATGGGAAGACTGATGTTAAAGGTCTGTTGATGATGCTTAACTCGTATCCATTGTGCCAGTAATATGGTTTTATTTTTTTTCCTGATGACCAGAAATTATTTTCCATATTTTGAGTTATCATGTCCAAATATTTCCAGAGCCACAGAAAGTCAGGCTGTATTATAATAAAACAAGCTTTAGGTAATTAATACTCAACACTGAGTGAATTTGTTTTAAAAATAAAAAAGTGTCCAAGGGTTGGGGTAAAAAATAAGAAAAGGTAATAGAACACTTCTGCTCATAGTTTTGAAAAGACAGTTTTCTCCTACTTGGAAGGAGAGCAGAGCAACTTCTTTTTGGGCTGAAACAAAGGGAGCTAAGATGCTATCCTGCTTATTTACTCTAGCTCAGACTTACTTTAGTACTATGGAGGGTATTGTAGATAAAAAGCCAAACAATGAAAGAAATAACAGAGAGACAAAAGAATGTGTGCACATGCTTTCCCAAGAATGCTGTTAGCAGTTTTTAGTTCTTGAAGAAGTTCTTAGGTAGAAAGATAATACATGGTTGAGAAATCATTCATTCTCAGTATGTATTTATTTGGTAGCATTTTGGTGTTAATAAATAGAATATTTATTACACAGAAATGAGAATTTACATGATTTTTTTTAAACTGAGAAACTAACCATGCAGTTGATCATGCAGTTGATCATGCAGTTGGTCATGCAGTTGATCATGCAATGAGTAAATGCTTTCACTTACTGTATCTTGACCTGCTGATTCATCAAAGTCACCAGGAGAACACAGCGGTCCACAGGTTCAGGGAGTGGATTGGCATAGGAGATCTCTATAGTTGCAGCTCTGTTCACTACAACCCGATGAGGAATCTAAATGACAAAGACACTTTTCCCATTATTTACTTATACTTTTCTAGAGTCTCAGTTGAACTATAAGGAGAGCATCTCTTATGTTTGAAGATGAATGAGATTGGTGAGAGTATTGAAATTTAACCCATGGTTGGTATGCTTTCCTAATACTTGAAGCTGGATTTGGACTAGCTAAAGAGTGCTATAGAACCATTAAGGTTGGAAAAGACTTCCAAGGTCATGGTTCCAACCATCCATCTACCACCAACATTGCCCACTAACCCATGTCCTTAAGTGCCACATCTACCCTTTCCTTAAACGCCCCCAGGGACAGTGACTCCATCACTTCCCTGGGCAGCTTGTACCACTGCATCACTGTTCTTTCTGAGAAGAAATTCTACCTTTTGAGCTGCATACAATGTTGTTTTGGTTTTTTTTTCATACCACTTCAGTGAAATAGAGCACTGACTACATAGACATATCATTAAATCTGTCTGATATTTGGGTTGGTGTTATTTCAGGTCACATAATTAATTTGGGTTAAATTGTTAAAACTATATAAACTGGCCCTGATGTAGATTAGAATTCAGGGTTTAACTCTACTCTGGGAGAAGTCAAAATTGTTTGAAGGCAATCTGAACACTTGCCAATAGCTGGAATAAATATGGAACAAAAACAATTCCTGTAAAATCAAAGGTGTGGAACGTGACTGGGAAAGAAGAATGGTAACAAGGCAGATTCAAAGTGGTCTCTCTCATACACTGCCATTTTGAGAAAACATACTTTCTCAGATTAAGCAGGCAAACTTTTAGAACAACAGCTGGAACTGCAGTCAAATTTCATGCATTTATACTCAAATTTTCATCTTAAATACTGAGCTTCAGGAAGGCCCTTTAGTTCTTTCTGTCTATTTAGGGTATCAGTAACAGAATTGTTTACCTTAATGATAATGTTTGTGTCCTCTAAAATGATTGTCTTCTCCACCAGCAGCTTAACCCCATGCATGACTTCACACAAAGCAGTGACTTGGATCCTTTTGTCAGTAGTCAAGTATTTCCCATAGTAAGCATAAGGGATCTTTAACCGGATGTGTTTCTCTGCAATTCAAACATGTATGAACTATTACATTCTGAATGAATACTAAAGAAAAGTGAGTGTTTGAAATTATGAAAGAGAGCAGAAGATAAGACAGCAGGGGTCTGTATATTTCTTCCTTGTGCGGCCAGTTGTGCACTTCCTTCTACTGCAGAGTCTGCTTTAAAGAGCTCATTTCACCCTTACAGTTTGGAATGGAGGATTTGGGCCTGAAGCAGAATTTTCTTATCTGCATTTCACTGGATATCTGTCCCTGTGAGTTTCTACTATTTGGCATATAACTATTTGTTCTCTCTCTATACCCTATTTGTTAACTTCAGTCAAGAAGAAAGCTTGTTCAAGAGATCTTTTTCAAGCATTCTAGTCAGCTACTTATTGTCTTAGTCCTACTACTTTTCTGCTGTGTATGGGGTGTGTGTATGAGAAAGGGGGGGGAGTGTTAATCTCTGCAGCCCCTGGAGATTAAAAACATCTTTATACAACAGGCTTCTTAATTCCTTTATAGAGTAAGATGTGTTCCTATATGTATCGTAATGATCGTGGGCACATATATCATAGAACTGTTTGAGCTGGGAGGGACCCTGAAAGGTCCAACTCCCCTGCAGTAAACAGGGACATTGTGTTGTTTCTGGTGCTCTAATATAGATGTAGCCTTCTTTATAACAACTCACGAAATCTTCATTTCCTGGTTGAACTAGTGCAAGTTTTTAAAGGGAAAAATATTGTGTAAAACCTTGTCATAACAGTGCTGCTGGGAGATGGAATAGGTCAATGTACTGTAAGGCTGATATGGACATTATATCAATGTTTCTTCCTTCTGTTTGCCTTCAGGTCATTTTAATGGCTAAGAAAAGCTGTAGAAATGCTCCTTGGGGTTATTAGCAGTTACCTTGCTTAGAACCGAGATCCACAGAGGTGTTTGCTTTCAGGATCTCTGCCACTGCTCTCCTGGTGTACAGGACACTTGACGCACTGATGTCCACTTTCACAGTCTTGTGGTCAGTGGATAGGTTATTGAGAATTAAGATGAGGTTAATGTCTTTGCCAAACACTGGAGGTTCAGCCAGCTTGAACTTCCCAGCGATCCCAGGGTTTCTCATTGAGTCTGAAGATCTTTCATGTGGGGAAGCGGTGTGTCCTTCTGTAATGCGTGATCCAAATATCTTGGCCAAGGCCTTTTTGTAAACTCTTCTTTCTTCAGAAGAACCTGGTTAAACAAGAGAACCAAGTAAAATTCATACTTTTTTTTTTTTTTTTTTTTTTTTTTTTGCCTTTGGGCCTTCTCTATGTAAAAGCTATCAGAATGACAAAGGGTCTCAGCTCTGTTTTGCCTAGAAATATGAAATACTTAAAAGTTCTTCATATTTTTAGTAGTCTTTTTCTTTTTTCTCATGAAAGTAATAAACATAATGTAACAAGGTGAGTAAGTTACTGAAATGAAATGTCATGCATTTGTTGGTGGATTTTTTTGTGTGCAAGATTTCTTTTTCTTTGATCAGAGTACGCAGTAGCGTTGTAGGTGTCACTGCTAATCTGATGGTAACCAGCCTCTGTATTAAATGTGCTTGCACTAAAACCTTGCAGAGGGAAGTACTCAAATACAGCCACTGACTCTGAGCAGCAAGCCTTAACTCTTATTTAAAGACACATCTCCCTTCAGAAATTAGGCATCTAAAAATATTCCTGCAAACATATAGCTAAGTGGTTTTCAACAGTTGCTCTTTCGTTTTCTTAAGTACAGATGAATGACACGTACTGCCTTTCCTGTTTCCCAACTGTTTTGTTTTCAGAATCCAGTACTGTGAAGACTGAGTCTACAGAGAGTGCAAACACATAACAGCTGGTTAGCTGATGGCACAAGAGAGCATAGTTTGGTGAATAAGTCAGACAGGAAGGCTGAGTCACCACTCATGGGAGCAGGGTAAAATGGGGTCTTCAAAAAGAAAAGATGAAGAGTTGGAATGGACACAGTAGTGTTTATTTGAGAGAAACTGAGTGTGGTCATAAGGGGATAGATGTCTAGAATTAGAAGACTAGTTTAACGTATTTGATTAGAGACTTGGTGGTTGTCCTCACCTCCCTGCCAGGTAAAGGAGAGTGTTACTATTTACTAATCTAACAACTTCCAGTATTACAATCAATGGATTCTAAGACTTCTTTTGAAAATTTGGATTTGTCTGCCTCTGCTAGTAAAACACAGAGTTCTATTTTTTGTATATATTTCATTTTGTGATTTTGTGTGAGAGACTGAAATATATTTAGTGTCTGTCATAGTAAGGATGCTAGCAAGTACACAAAAACAGAAATATAATACTTGCTGTATTAGGAAAATAGTCTGACAACAGAAATGTTTTCTAAAGGAATCTGAGAAATACCCAAGCTAAACAGGCTACCCATCCTACTCCCAGGAGTTCAGAAAGGCATAAGTTATGATAACAAACTCTACCTTCTGGATATTTGTAGTTATAAGTGATATCCACACGGGAATTGCTGCCAACAGCTTTGGTGCTGATAAACCTGCCGATTATTTCAGTATCACAATAAACTCTTTTCTTAGTTCCATCATTGTATACAATCCATCTGTTGCAATCAGCATTCACCTCTGTGTACACAAATAAGGTGTCGTAATCCAGATCTACATCGCCTTCTTTGATGGCTACAACAGATGCAGGGCCGCACTGGAATAATCCTAAGGCATGAAAAAAAGTGTAAACTTGGTTAATCGTACTCAGTTTGGGGAAGGAACGTTAAGTCATTACACTGTTACCTTTGCTTTGTTCCTGTGGAGTCGCATCTAAAACCTGCCATCCATTGTATCGTGTTCCCAGATCTGGGCGAATGAACCAGCTTTCATTCCAGACATGATAATCCCTAGAGACAGAGTACAATGTCTAGAAAGCATAGTAACATAGAGGCATAGAGGCTCAAAGATTGAAAGGTGCAGGGAATTGTTGTTTTGTCTTTTTTTTTTTTTTTTTTTTTTAAAGATTGTATAAGACTTGACGTAAGTTGTCTGTTTACAGCAGCTCACTGCTTTTCATGAAGTACAGACTTACTGCCTGCTGTTGAGTTGTAGGCCTCTCTAATAAAACGAGAACAAAAGCAATGAGTATGCAGAACTGAACAGTTTACTTTGGGGGTAATAGGAAAGATTTAGGCCTTGGATATGGACAGTGTTTGGGGATTGAGCTTGGTAACCTTCAGATGTGAGGGCTACAAGTTAAAAAGAAATTTGGGACAGCTACACTCAAATTATTCATAACGTTGAATGGTTCATCTGTAGTTGTGTGTAGCAGGAAGTGATTAGAAAAAATCTAGGAACAGCATGTGATCATAGTGATCCTTTCCCTGATGTACATGCCTAGTTTCTAGCAGTCAGAAAATTAGGGACTTTCTGAACTAGAAGTAACACTGAAGAGGAGAACTCCCCTTGACCTGCCGACCACTTTTTTTTTTTTTTTTTTTTTTTTTTTTTTTTTTAAATGATATCTTGAGGGATATCTTGAGCCACAAAAGCACACTGCTGGTTTATGGTCAACCTGGTGTCCACTAGGACACCTAGGTCCTTCTCTACGGAACTCTCTTCCAGCAGGTCAGCCCCCAACCTGTGCTGATGCACACAGTTATTCCCCAGGTGTAGGACCCTAAAATTGCCCGTATTGAACCTTGTAAGGTTCCTCTTTATCTAATTCTCTAGCCTGTCCTGGTTTTGTTGAATGGCAGCACAACCTTCTGCTGTGTCAGCCATTCCTCCCAGCTTTGTATCATCAACAGGCTTGCTGAGTGAACACTGAGTGAACATTCTGTCCCTTCATCCAGGTCCCCAGTGGATATGTTGAACAAGACTAGACCTAGTGCCAACTACAGGCCTTCAAGTAGGCTCAGCACCATTGATCACAAACCTCCAAGCTCTGCCAATCAGCCAGGTCTCAGTCCACCTCACTGCCCACTCATCTCTTTCACGCTTCCTAAGCTTAACTAGAAGGATGTTCTGAGAGACAGTGTCAAAAGCCCTGCTGAAGTCAAGATAGACAACATCTACTGCCCTCTGCTCATTTATCCAGATAGTCCCAATATCACAGAATGCTACCAATGATCAAGCATGATTCTCCCTTACTGAATCTCTGTTTACTTCCCCTGATAACCTTATTTTCTTCCACCTGCAAACTGTATTTGAATTATCTCTTATTTTTTCCCGTAAAGTGAAAGGCTATCTAAAGGAGTGCTGAAAATCTTACTGGGGAGGCTCCCTAAGGAGGATGACATTCAAAGCTGAGAAGCGGAAGCTTTGAATGTGCGATGAAAGAAAGTTATTGTAGCAGTAAACTAGTCAAGAATGTGGAAGGTACAGAGTTGCATTATCACAAACAGGCTGCTTAAGAGTCAGTAAGAGACTTTGAATCTGGTATATTGTCAGTGGAAGCATTTTACGTTTTTATGAAAGTTGCAGTTAGTTTGATGTACGGGACTGAAAAAAAAAAGTTGTTTTTTTTTTTGTTTGTTTGAAGTAAATGTTTCCCCAGAACAATGGAATATAGTTTTACATGGTATTGGGAGATGCAAAAACTTATATTTACCATGTGGAATCCTTGCTGATATTAAGACTTTTTCCAGAGCTGTCGTAGTACTTATCGATGCTCAGGTTTCTATCCACATCGTGGGCAGAGTTAAAATTGGATACCAAACGAGTCGGGATCCCCAAGCACCTCAGAACTGAAATACATTAAAAACAAACAAAAACAAAACAAAAAAACCCAACACTTTTGTAATAGATTATAATACATTATGTGTCTGAGATTTAAAAAAAAGTTATCAAAATATTTGATTCTTCAGGATGCCTTCAAAGCACTGTTCCTTTTTATAGAATTAACTGCTTTGTAGGTTTGAAAAAACCCGAGGTCATGAAGTGCCTCTGTTTCACCACAGTCCTTTACCCTCGGTGCTTACCTGTACACATCACACCTGCAAACACCCAGCACTGGCCGTACTGAACAGGCCTGTAGTTATCCTGACGCCATTTCTGGAGGATTACTACGCTGCCATCCCATCTGGATGGATTCTCATGTGAGTGGAAACTTCCTTGCCACTTTCCCAGGAGAACTCCGTTATCATTATCATTTCCATTGATCTAAAAACAGACAGAACAGTCAAAAGCAGTTGTGTGTAATATACCATACATAGGGTAACTAATGCATTCTGCTTTTGTATAGAGTAAGTTGTCCATTTCTTACCATAGAACTAATGACTCGACCCACATATTTAGGATCTCCTCTTCGAGCTACATCAACAGCTGGATCCTGACGATAGTATAGACTCAGATCAAGCATGGTGAGACAGATGTTTAGGAGGTGATCTTGAAACTGTGATAAGGTAGGAGGAATTTTTAAGAAAATAGTTACGCTAACGTGATCAGAGCAGATTCCACTATAGTTCCTCCTTTCTGAGGTATTCCAGACCAAAGATTATAGGGACAGTGAGGAATAAAGTCAGTAGTGTGCAATTCACACTACAGTATTGGCTAAAGCCAAGGATATCTAAACAAACCCTAAGTTTGGTGTAGTGCCTTTGTCCATCAGAAGAAATTACTTCTGTAAAACTGAAACTGGCAAGCTTATTCTGTCTGCAGTTACTGGATTCCCTGGAGTTATGTTGGTGTCATTTCTAGCCGGTTGTAACTTCATTAAAAACAATGGGTGTCTTGGAGCCCCATGAAAATATTTTCATTTGTACTGTGGATACTCTGCTCACAGATAAGCTCTAAAAATGTGTATGGAGCTCACAGTACTTGTAGAAGACAACACTAGCTGCAGTGCTATGCTAAGCTCTCAAGCCAAAGTCATGGTAGGCACACAGCGAGCACACCACAGGCAGAGCCGGCCAGGTTTGTCCAGTTTGCATATAAATATATATTACTTATCAAAGAAGCAAACAATGGTAAGTTAAAATGATATTGGAGACAAATGAAGTTTCTACAGCTTACCTGTCCGTAGTACCATCCTCTTGCTTCAATGTACTTTGCATTGCCCACAAAAATAATTCCATTTTCATTTAGAACATATTCCTGTCTCTCATTTTCATTAGGTATGTAGACATCATCACCTGAAAACCAAGTTGTACATGCTTTTACACTTAAAAATGGGGAAACTTGCAACCTTTAAAAAGTGTTTCTATCATGGCCTGAAGTGTGGAATTTGCTTTACTATTTGGAAAACCACATCTCAGTGTTATAACTCCCTGGACACGTGCAGTTCAGTGAAAATTCCTTGTTATTGTATATGTCCTGGTGGAAGGAAAAAAATATATATTCATTATTACTGTGACTGTTTTCCTCAGTTTTAGTATAGCCTTTTGGTATTATACAAGTGTTGCCTGTCTTTGTTTCAATTTTGTGGGGAAGATGGAAAAAGTTCCAGCTGGCTCTCTGGAGTTTTATGCTTTGTTGGAGTAGTTAGAAAAGACATTTGAAAATAATCATGCAGATAATATTTTCCTTTATTTTCCAGTCATGTTCATCTTGTTTTAAAAGTCTCAAACAAAGACTTGCCTGATCCAAACAACTGTCAGAATGTTATTAGGAAAGCCTGTTGAACTGTTCTTTGCTACTCATTGGTTGCCCTATTCTGACAGTGTGTAGCTTCTGCAGGAGCATTGGCTTCCCACAGATTTTTAGGTTGATTTGTTCTCTCTTTATGTAGTACTGTCTGCTTGGTTCTGTGTTTAATATCATAATATTGAAAATCATTTTCAGAAACTTCAGGATTTAAGAAAATATTTATAAAAGTTTTCTTGTTCTACTGAGTCAACTTCTTTACCTTCCTAAGGGAACTTCCCTTCCCTTCCTTCCTGCAAGTAAAAAGATTGTGTCAGAATCCCAGAATGGCTGAGGCTGCAATCTTGGAGAGATTTCCCTTTATTAAAGTTTTGTAAAGACATTTAATATTAAAACATCATTTCATACATGAATTAATAAGTTTATTGTTTATTTTACCATTCTTAGAAGATGGAATTTCCTGTTTCCAAATTCTGTATCTATTTTAGAAATGTAATCTGTGAAATTAATTGCTTCCTGTTGGGTAAACTAAAAATTTTTAAGTAGTTTTTTTCCTATCCAAAAGACTTTTTGTGTTTTCAGTCATGGTAGTAACGCTGCTCCAAACATGTTATACTCCATAATTTCTGTTCAGGATTGATTAACTGAAAGAATAGCCCAAGTGAGGTCGCATTAGCTTCTGGTGCAGTGATATTAATATGTATACATCTGAGGAGGTATTTCCTCTTAGACAGTTTTAGATTGCATTTGTCTTTTCAGGGACATTTTACTTTGGTTCTCATCATTTGACCTGTAAGTACTTCCATATCCCTCATGATTTCCATCTGAAACCCTGACTGCTTTAAGTATTCATTTACAGACATTACAGTGTATGAATTAATTCCTGTCTTTTCCAGCTTAATGACTAAGCTCCTACGTGGAAATGTATCTACAGTCATTTGCAGGGAACATAATTTTTCTATTTCCCTTTTACTATGGCACTTCCTATAGTGGTAATGTATCCTCAAATTGAATCTGTTCTTGTCTCTCAGGAGCAGGAACTTATTTAGCCACATCCTACTTGAAGGATACTTGTTTTTGTTTAGCAGTGGTCATTGCATGGTCAGGTAAATCCAGAGGGCTTTTCAGCAAAATCATTAGTTTTTAATTATAAGGACATTACTTTATCATCTGGCAACAATTTATCTTGTCTTACAAGCTCTCTTAACCTTAGAGTGATATAGGTTCTGTTATCTTAGAGGATATAGGATTCTGTTACGTATTTGCAAAATCTGAGTTTAGGAATTTGCATTTCTTCTGCAGCATGCTGAGGCTGCAGAAATTAAAAAGGTGAGCAGCAAGAGAAGGCCCTTTTCAACCCGTGAAGAAGATGTGGGAAGTACCAGTCTTCACATTAGTCCTCTATCAGTTTTTATAAGGATAGATGGGCTACTATCTCTGCAGATAACATATACAAGAGCAGTATTACTTTGATTTTGGTGTGAGTAAAGGGCATTACTGTATGCTTGCTTTATTTTCTGAAATGTACATGTGCAAATGAAAGTCTCTTAGCTCTCATCTACAGAATATGCGATCTGCTCAGTCCTGAAGACAGTCTGTAGTCATCCCATAGAGCACATTTCATTAAAAAGGTGAGAGAAAGTGGTGCGTTTTTAATGTAGTGAAACAAGATCTGTGAATGCATAGCTGAGATATAGCAACCCAAAGAAAGCCAGCTTGAAGGAGCAAGCTAATAGATAGTTGCATTCAAGAGAAAAGTCATCAGCACCTACCTGGGCACCAAGGATTGAAAAGAATCACAAACTGCCCCAGGAATCTGGAGAAGATCTTGTTCCCTGAGTTTACCTGGAGGATGAGATTGTATCGTCCAATGATGGCATTAGCTGGGCTAGATATTATAAAGGTCATATGTCCAGACTCACTGGGTCCCTGGGCAGCACTCCAGCCACTTGCTCCCACCTCAGAGAGGTTAAATACAGCTCTTGTACGATGGGATTCTGAGGGGGCTGGTCCTGCCAGAAAGATGAGGCAATTAGTTTACATTCTAAAGGGTTACTTCAGTATTAACCTCACACTTAGGCTACAAAGGTTCCACGCGGAGGAACATATTGTGGGGGGAAGAAGTGTTAGAAATGCACAAAGAAAATTTGCATCTCTAAGCATAATAGCAAGTTGGCAAAATAGAAAGGAGAAACACCATCCAGAGGGACCTGGACACCCTGAAGAATTGGGTAAATGAGATTCTCTTGAGCTTTAACAAGGGCAAGTGTAAGTTGCTGCACTTGGGTTGAGGCAAACCTGGATACGCACAGAGTAGCGTCTGTCTGCTCTGAGAGCAGACCTGCTGGAGGAGGACTTGGGAGTCCTGCTGGATGAAAAGCTAGACGTGAGCCAGCAGTGTGTGCTTGCAGCCTGGAAGGCCAATAGCATCCTGGGTGGCATCAACAGAGGGTGACAGTGAGCAGGGAGGGGGCTGTCCCCATCCACTCTGCCCTCATGAAGCCCCACCTGCAGTATTGCATCCAGGCCTGTGGTCCCCAGTGTAGGAGAGATGTTGAGGTGTTGGAGTGGGTCTAGAGAAGGGTGATGAAGATGCTCAGAGGGCTGGAGCACTTCTCTTGTGAGGACAGGCTGAGGGAGTTGGGCTTGTTCAGTTTGGAGAAGAGAAGGCTCCAGGGAAACCTCATTGTGCCCTCCAGTACAAGAAGGGAGCTTACAGGCAAAAAGGAGACCAAATATTTCTACAGTCTGATACTGATAGGACGGGGAGGAATGGCTTTGAACTCTCCAGAGGCATTCAAGACTGGGTTGAATGGGGCTCTGGGCCCTGATCTGGTGGGTAGCAACCAACCCACAACAGGGGGTTGGAACTGGATGATCTTTAAAGTCCCCTCCAATCTAAGCCATTCTGTGATAATAAGGGGAAACTACAATGAATAGTGCTTACAGCTTTGTGAGTGTGGAGTAATCTAAGGGAGCATTACCTATTTCAGTGACAAAGGCTAGGCTCTCCCCAGGGTACTTTTGTCTGTTGAAGTACAGAGTAATAGTGAAGGGTTGTCCACGCCTCACGGTCAGCTCAGTGTTGGCATATCTGTCAGTATGGTGTGCGCTTGCATTTACTGAAGGCTGCCAGCTAATATGTGTTGGTTTCAGTTCTGTAAATTAAGAGAAAATATTAAGAAGCTGACAGCATGAGAACAACTCATTTCCTGCCAAGTAGAACGATGAGATTGGCAAGAGCAGTTATCTTTTATTGGAAGAAGGACAGATAAAGAGCAGATGGTCAACTAAATTGATGAAGTCTAGTTGTTAATAACAGAAGAATTGTGCTTGTATTTTGTTACTGGACAAACACCAAGATAACAAATACTTCCTAGTACCTATATACAGATTTTATGCTGTTTTTTTGACTGAAAAGTTTATGGAAGCAAATTACAGTCTTTCCAAAGTCAGCACCAAATGAAGTGGCTACTATCTACACTATCCACTTTTCAACATATATGTTTCAGTTTTCCAGAGATGTCTGTTAGGATGTCTGTCTTACCTTTCCTGCTTACATTTTGGTGCCATCTGGACTAGAGTATGGAAAGATGCATAGTGAGAGAAGATCTGTCTTTAAAGAATGAATAAGAAATACTTGTGGACACATTTGCAGTATCCAGAGGGGGGGGACTGTAAGAAAGAAGGGGACAAACTCATTAGAAGGGTGTGTAGTGATAGGAGAAGGGGAAATGGTTTCAAACCAAAGGAGGAGATATTTAGATTGAATATAAGGAATATGTTTTTTTTTACAATAAGGGCAGTGAGGCACTGACACAGGTTTCCCATCCATCACCATCTCTGGAGACACTCCGAATCAGGCTGGAGGGGGTTTGAGCTCCTGATCAAACTGTGGGTGTCTCTCTTCATTGCAGGGAGTAGGACCAGATGGCTTTTAAAGATTCCTTTCAGCTCAAACGATTCTATAATACACTGGATCTTTTGACACAGAAAGTCATCTGGCTAAGCTTAGCACTGTCCAAAATTACAAGTGGATGGTTGGGATTACTGTTCTAGCAGGTTTTACCTTCATCATGTCCTAGACTAATTCTGATGACTTCTAATGTGCTTGGAGTTCTTTGATGACAAGTGGCCCCCTCCACACATACTCTTATCACAGTCTATTGTATAAAATCCACAAGGCAGTGTTTGCCACCTTAAAAGCTATACTAGCATCGAAGCATATATGCTTAATGAATACGTGCATTATGTAAGTAAGCATATATATATACTAGCATAAAAGCAAGTATGCATATGATTCTCCTAGCAGGAATGTTTTCCCTTCTCTTGCTCATGCTTCAATGCAACGCTCAAAATGGGAAAGGATGGATTAAGGCCTGTGGCACAATGCCGTATTATGGTTGAGATCTTCAGACAAGCTTCCAGTTCTGTCTCATACCATACATTGTACCATATAGCACAGCAACAAAGTACTAAGTCAGATCTGAAACAATACAGCTGCATCTTAAAATACAATCAACATACAAACTTTGAAGAAAGATTAAGAGCAAAATCTACCTTAATCTGTAAAAAAAAAAAAAAAAAAAAAAAAAAAAAAGTATAATAATTCAAGAGAGAAGAGTATTTTGTTCGTAGTCTGACATCACAAAGAAGTAATGTGAGTAAGCACTGACAAACTGAAAGAAACAGTATCACACATTTCTGGGATGTCAACTGCATTAAGCATTTAGCAAAGCAACATTTAAAAAAATTGACTTGAAAACTTGTCTTCCACAATTGAATAAAAGATAGTACTGCTTTCCAATTGTCCAGATCACCAGTCATTATTTTAAACATTGATAAACACTGATAAACATTGATTTTGGTGAATAGGAAGCAGAGATATTGTCATTACTAGGGTTTTAAGGCTTTTTTGAATTCCCATCTGTAGAGTTCATGCTCGCAGCTTGCTAATGTTGGATTACACAAATTTTCTTCATACAAAATAAAGTAGAATGTTTTTGAAAAAGCATTTAAAAATAGAGTTTATATAGATTTAGGTGTGATGCCTTTGAAGTGATGGGAATTTTTTTTTTCTCTCTCCACAAAAACAACTCCCGTTAAGCTGAAAATAATTTTCAGACAGTCCTGGTAATGACAATAAGACACTGAAAATGAGTTGCAAATGGTAGTATGAAATTTCCTCTAAATAAAAAAAAAAAACTGTGCAGATTTCTACAGGGCATGTATCATAAGTAACCAGTCCTGAAGGGAAGCAACTGACGCACAGAACTCACCTGCCATCCCCTCAGCTTATGTGAATTGCATACGCCTTCTACTTTGTTCTTCAAGGGCGTCCAATTTGCGCTATTCAAAAAACGAAGAAACCCAGCAATCTTTGTGTACCGCCAACTGAAATTCACGAAGAGGAATAGGTACTTAGCAGCTGTTATTAATACATGTAGACTTGTCAAATGAATTAATTAGTTGCTATAATAGAAGTATGTCTAATGCCAATGTTCCTGTACAATGTGGGTGTAATTACGGGAGGAGATACCAAAATTATTTACTCAGAGGAAATGCATTCTCCCAAATTCCAAGACGAGTAGAACTTCCTACAAAGAATAATGGGTGTGCCACGAATAAGTTATCTTCGGGGATGAGGAAATAGGGAGTGTGGTGGGACATACAAACCATATGAAGGAAAAGAGGCATTTCCTGATGACTTAACTTCCAGGTTGGTTAATGTGACTTCTGGTTTTGAGACCGTGCCCCCTGCCCTAGGTGAAATGATAAATTCCCACTAGAAACAAATATATGTCTACATGTTTTGTTAGCCAGCTCCATATTATCTATTTAAACAGAAATTTTCTTTAGAAAAAAAAAAAAAAAGCAAAACAGACCCACAAACCCAGACCCCAAATTATTAACCACGAATACTTTCTATCAGTGCAAACTTCAAAATTTACTTAAAAAGCATGCAGTTAATAATTGTTATGTTTAAATTTCTCATCTCCACTGATCATGTTTAGTGCTCAGTAAAGACTAAAAAAAAAAAAAAAAAAAAAAAAAAAAGAAATTAATCTGAATTTTTAAATTACAGCAAAAAATAGAAAATAAGCAGAAATTATGATCTTTTTCTAAAATTAAATATATATATGTGTGTATATACATATTTTATATTTATTTAAATATATATACATATACACACGTGTGTGTATGTATGTATATATAAGTATGTATATGTGTATATACATATATATGTATATATATATATGTGTAGGCTTGTCACATCTTTCTGTGAAACTTGGCTTTGATAGCATGAAAACTAGAAGAGTACTTATATGACTTTCATGCCTGTCCAGTCTTGAAAGAAAAACACTAAAGCTTTTCATACTTGGCAGCACTGTATCTGCTATGACAGTGTATATTTTCACTTACATTATAATTCAGACGTCCTTCCTCTTCTTGGAAGTTCCTGGGATATTCAGGCTCTCAGAACTTGTTCCAGGAGTCTCCTTGAATGGATTTGATTGCTTTTCAGAGCTGCTTTAGTTAGTCTTTTTCTCTTCTCCTTAATTCATAGTCCTTGGAAACCATAAGAGCCACAAGCCTCTGATGTTACCTGATCTTCACACACAGTCCTAGTGATGAACCGCATCAACCAGTTCTTAAGTTCAGGTGTTCAGTACTTACAGTGATTGCTTCAGACGCTTCACACTGCTCCCTCTGGAGCATGACTAGTTCCTTTCTACTTCCTTACTACTCACATAGGCAATTAAAATTCACACCACTTTTTCTGTCTCGGCTGCATCCACCTCCTTTACCTCTTGTGACGTACCCACTGTGGTGTTCACCAAGCCATCCTAAACTTTCATAGTGTCCTACATCCTAAACCAGCACCTGACGGTCGACACCTTCACCACACCAAAGCATTAGCAGCCACTTTTGTAATCCCTTTGGAATGCAGCGGTCATGGTTCCTATGTGACTAATGACTTAATAGTGTCACAGGTGTTTTTCCTAGCTCAGTTCCACCCACCTATCATCCAAAATAGTAAAAATATTTTATTCCTTCTTTTCCGTAGTTTCGTGGCCTTGAAATTGCCCTTCAGTTTTCCAACTTTCCAGTGTAAACCTAAACTTACATTTTTCTTGCCTCCTCAATAATTTGTTGTTTGTGTATTGTGCTATCATGACCTCAGATTAGCCTTATTGCACCTTAAACTCATGTTGTTGCTAGTCTTTTCTAGAAAGTATAAGTTCCACAAAAACATTGCAGAATCCTATCTACGAGTCTGTATCCCAGTAGGCACACATTTAATTAGATGTGTTAACTTTATGCACATGTGAAGTGTTGCAAGGGAAGGGTGTTGCCTTTCTTTAATTCCCCTAGACGTTCACCAGATTCTGTCATTTCTGCTAGTGCAATTTGCTTGACTTCACCTGAATCTGGTTGTTTTCATTCATCTAAAAAGAAGTTGAAATTCTGAGTCAAAGTCTGTCCTTGAGCTTGAACTTCCATCATTTGGTCTTTGTTCCTGCAAGTTTTAAGGAACATCAGGAGAAAATCTGTGGGCTATTTGTACAACTTCCTGTAGCTATGTGGTTATGCAGCCAATATAATGATGTACTAATGTCATGTGTCTGGCACTGGTAAGTTAGATGGCTGCTGGTGCCCTCCTCAAGTACTTTTGCAGGGTATAGGTACAAGGCAGGTTCTGCAGTCCAAAGTACAATAGAGCAGTAGCATGACTTCTCATTCACTTCATCTACACAGTTCATTTTTCAGTCAGAGATTGACTTAGTGTTGCATAATTATCAGCCATAAAGTAAATCACTTAATGGGCTACACCTAGCTCACTTGTTCCAGGAATCTTGCTTCTAGCTTCTGCTTCCTCACAAACTATTTAATCACCTTCCAGGTAGAGTTGCATTGAAAGAACATCTACTGTTACACATACTGTTTAGCAACAGGAATTCAAGATGTGGAATTCATAAGTTAAGTTAATTATGCAATTTTTAAAGGAAGGCTAAGGCACCTTTTATTAAGACGAGCCTTTTTTGCTACCATTTTTGGCCCTCACAACAGTCAAACAAATTTGGATGCATTCTTTGTTCGCACCAGTTTTTTCACGTCTGTGGTCTGCACCTATCTGCCATTAAAAGTTTAACTAAGGTATACTGAACTTGATCTCAACATTACTGGACTCCGTATTTAATATATTATTTGCTGATAGAGGTGGCTTCCTAACACACAAACTATAGTGATAAATTCTAGTTTTTCCAGAGTTAAAATACCCCTGACCTAAGATTACTCTCCCTCTGATTCGCGAAGAGTATCAGTGAGTACAAAACAGCAGCATGCAAAAAGAACCTCGTATACGTTGAACTGGGCAATTATCCTAACATTTTTACCAAGTTGCTCTCATACTGGACGTCATCCAAATTGCTTTTCCTGTGCCTCACTTGGCCACTGTGATTTGGCAGAAAAGAAAAATGTCATGATACTTACTCATTATTGCTAAAAAGACTGGCCAAAATTGTGTAAAGCATGCACTTAATCCTGGCTACTTTCTAGTATCATGATTGCAATGAAAGGAAACACCACTTTGCAATTGCACTGTATAAGGCTTTGAATGTGTAAAAATATGTTTATATTTGTGTAGAAACAGCCAGAGTCAGAAGTAATGATTTCCAAACAAAAGCAGACACAAGTCAAGCAAACAGTCTCTGAGTAGAAGGTAAGATATTCTGTTTAATTAACATGGATGTGCACAGTAGTAAGTGAACCATTCCACAGTTTATTAAAAATTACAATGTAAAATTTTAATGATATAAAGTTGATAAACCCGTATCACAGGAAGCAAGGACTTTGTTCTGTTACTTTTCTCCTAGTTTTCTTGTACATTTCTTACACCATTTTGTACAATGTCCCTGCATTTGGTAGGGACAAAGATCGTTTATTGTGTATCTTCCTGTTAGTCAATCACCTTTACAGTTTTAAAGGCCTTGATATCTGCAAATTTATCACAGGAGAAATTAACAAGCAGATGCTTGGAGCCCGTCTCAAAAGGGGTAAGTTTAAATTTTGTACTGGATATCTCTTTAGCTTTCAATGGTGGTACGCTAGAAATAGAAAACAAAAGAAAAAAATATAAGCTGAAAATAGGCTTATGCATCACATGTGAGTTTACTCTTTAGCCATTTCCATCCTTATGTAAGAACTCCTATCAGCTCAGTCTAAGATGGTCGTGAAAATAGTGTGCAACACTTAGCTATTTGACAGCACCATGCTGGACTGGGTGGCTTGACTCCCGTTTTCAACAGTGGAGAGCCAGTCAATGGAATCAACTTCAGATTGAATATTAAGAATAATTTCTTCTTTCATGTTCCAGAACTGTGGCTCTGAGGGACATGGTCAGTGGCCATGGTGGGATGAGTTGAGGTTGAGCTTGTTGATCTTGAAGGTCTTTTTCAACCTGTTTCTATGGTGTATATTTAAATACTCAAGACCATGCATTAAGGACTCAAAAAACATGTAGTAATCCAGATAAGCTTACTTGGGATCAGGGTGAAAACATACTCATCTCATATAAGAGAAAGCTTCATGCAGAACAGGAAGCATAAAATACGTCATTGTGTTGAATGAGCTGGAACCACAAGGAGTACTGATGCAAACTCCTGAATTACAGTAGATTGTAGCAACGTGAGAAAAGTGTTTGCACACCAGGAAATTCTAAATCGACCTTACAATGTTTTATACTAGTATATTTTATAATTCTAGGAAATCCATGTTTATGATTTCACCGAAGAGTCTTAGCCTGTGATATTTTGTCTTGCCTGAGTATAAAGTTGTATACAATATGTAACACAAGGTTACTGAATTCCCTCAAGGGAATAGGGAATATATGAGATAGACATAATTGTTCAAGCAAGAGTGACCATCTTAAGTTGCTGTGAATGGTTTTTTGTTTTGTTTTTTGTCAGTGTGCATGTATGTGTTTATCACAGAATCATAAAGATTGGAAAAGACCTCTATCATCCAGTCCAGCCATCCACCTACCACCAATATTACCCACTAAAATACGTTCCTTAGGACCACATGTACATGTTTCTTTAACACCTCCAGGGATTACATGTTCACTCGTGTTCACTTAATCAGCACATTTCCATATCACAGGTAGCTGGGATCTAGAGTAAAAGGAACCCATTTTTTTCCCAGTCTTCTCATTCCCTATCTCAACATCATCTAGAACCTTTCTGACTCAGTTTATTAATCTCCCAACATCATTATTTTGTGGAGTTCTAAAAGCAGAGCTTGAAAATCAATGTACTCATAGTTCCTGTTTTGGAAAATCTTTATTTATCATAATATTCACTATTTTCCCTATCCTCTTCCTGCCTGCCTTAGGTATTTAAGTTATGCTCAAGTTCCAGACCATAGTAAAGTAAATCCAGTCCTCTAAGGTGTAGACTGCTGGTCCTGGCTTAGTCTGTTCTCTAATGTTCATCCTCTTTAGTCATGATTTATTGTGCCTGAAATAGCTACACATAGAGCATACTTTGGGCTGTTTTTTCAGAAGTGCCACTTTTTGAGATCACAGCCTGTCCCTAAACAATCTGTGTTCATTTGTGTTTACAAAGCTGGGACACTGGTGCATCTGCTTTTTACATTACACAGTTACCTGTCTAATGTAGATGCAAATTGTTTAGAAGGTTGACCACTCAGACTGGCACTCGTAGTCCATTTTATAAACAAAACAAAAAATCCTGGTTAAAATACAGAATATTTTGGGCATAGTGTGGACAGAAACACTCATATCCTATTGCTAATCCTACAGTCAGAACAAGAAGGTTCAACCCATCTGGTCTATAGCAGCATGCATTGCTTCAATAACATTTATTGCATGGGAATACATAAAGCTTTTGCTGGAACTGTCATGGCCTGTTGGGTAGGGAAGAAAGTTCTATCAAATTGTAAAGTAATTATTTGCCCTCCCAAAGTATGGAGTCAAAGCCTACGGGAGATGGAAAGGTGATTTAAAGTTGTGTGCAAAAGGAAAATTCTGTCTCATTCTTGTGTTTGGTTCAAAGACATCCATGGCTGTGTTCTGGATTAGTTATCTTTAGTAGCAGGAAGAGGCACTTTTTGTACTTACTCTATCATAAGGATTCCTCTCAGCAGGTCACTGCCTTCTACCTGCAGCACACAGTCCTTCACTTCGATATCAATAGGATTGGTAAATACCACTTCCACTTCCACTTCTTTATTCACTTTTGCCTCACCGAGTACCTGAGCAAAGAAAATACTTAAAAGGTCAGATTGTCAGCATTGTCAGTCATGTCAGAAGAGGGATTACTATGAGGAACTGTGATGAACCAAGGCAGAATATAAGCAGAACATCTCTTCCTGAGAAAGAAAGTGCCTAAAGGGCTCATTTTCCCCTTACTCTGCCACTGCATTTAGAGTAAAGGGAGAATAATTCACCTGTATATCAATGGCAGGGTTGTCCAGGGCAATGTGTCTTTGCACCAGTACTTGAATCCCACCTTCTACGTGACATAAAGCTGTTACCTCAATTGCGTTATCTGTAGTTAACTGCTGTTGATATTCAGCATAAGATATCTTAATGGGAAAATGTTTCTCTGTGGAGGGAAAAAAAAAATAAAAAAGGAACTGATAAACACTTTTGTAAGGGAACAGACTTTCTACCCAGTATTAATCCAGGGATGGGCATGCTCACTTTTCTGGGCAGCAGTGCCAGGGCCTCACTGCCCTCTCAGTAAAGGATTTCCTCTTCACATCTGACATAAATCTCCCCTCTTTCAGTTTAAAGCCTTTCCCCTGTGTCCTATCATTATCTGTTCACGTAAAAAGTCAGTTTTCATCTTTTTTATATTCTTTATGTACTGAAGGGCCACAGGAAAGTTTCCCTACGGCCATCTCTTCTCCAAGCTGAACAAGCCCAACTCCCTCAGCCTGTCTTCACAGGAGAGGCGCTGCAGCCCTCTGAGCATCTTCATGGCCCTCCTCCAGACCCACTCCAACACCTCAACATCCTTCTTACCCTGGGGACCACAGGTCTGGATGCAGTACTGCACATAGGGGCTCATGAGGGCAGAGTAAATGGGGACAATTCCCTCCCTGTCCACTGCCACCCTCTGCTAATGAAGCCCAGGGCGCTGTTGTCCTTCTGGGCTGCAAGTACAAATTGCTGGCTCACTTTCAGCTTTTTATCCATCAGGACCCCCATGCCCTTCTCTGCAGGGCTGTTCTCAAGGAGTTCTTCTCCAAGTTTGTAAATGTCTCTGATTGCCCCAACCTAAGTTGACCATCTTCTAACACCTGCTTATTGATAACTTTTAATAAGAATTGTGTGATTATTTGATTTGAAAAATTACCTTCCTCAGGAGACAGAGAGACAGACAGGGAGTCCTTCCAGATCTCACGGACTGGTCTTCTTGTATACACAGTGCTCCAAGCAGTCATATTTACTTGAACAGATTTAACTTCAGATTGTAAATTTGCAAGAACCAGAATTAAATTGAGGTCTTTGCCAACTTCTAAAGGACCAGCCATCTTAAACTTTCCTGAGATATCAGGCTTTTGTTCAGTTTCCTTTGGTGTTGGTGCTGTAGGATCAAACTTATCCTCAAGTCCCAGCTTCTTGCGGGCTTTTTTAAAAATATCTCTTTCTTTTTTAGAGCCTGTTAGAAACAGCAATGAAAATTACCCTCAACAGTTAACAGCTAGAGACTATTCAGCAAAACATAATTCTGTACTTAGAGAGCAACTACCACACTTAATTTTCTGGCTTTGCCCTCAGCAATGTCACTGTCCCTTTAGTAGCATCTTCTTGTAAAACAAAATCTTAAGTCCAAAATTTGTCACCCTTTCCATTTCTATGGTTTTTTATGGTTGTAAAAAGGAATGGTTTTGTTTGCTAATACAGAAGATGCTCCTTAAGTAAGGGAAGGGCAATGGTATAATGTGGTCTGTTGACTCTGACAAACAGCCAAACACACCCAACATCACATTCACTCCCCATACCTGCAGGATAGGTAGAAAATAGAAGAAAGGTGAGAACTATGGATCAAAGTTATTTGGACTTGCCCTATTTAGGTCCCACAAAGCAACTACGTATCAGAAAGTGGAGGGCATTATTTTTTACTCTTTACATTCTTTTTTCTTTTCTGCTAGAACTGAATAAATGTAGTATAAATTTTCCCCTTACCATAAAGATGTCCAAAATTGCCAATCAAGAGGCTCCTATCATAAAGTTTAGGTGACTTTTCTGGAATGAACCAAATATAGAACTATGAAGTTTTTTACCTTCTTCATATTTATAATCACTGGTGATATCTATACGATCATTTCTACCAACTGCCTTTGTGCTGATGAGTTGGCCGATTACTGTCGACTTGTTGAATAATAATGTTTTCTTTCTAGTTGCAGGATCATAATTCCAGTACATACAGTCTGCGTTCACTTCTGCAAATACAAACGGACAGTCGTAGTCCAGATCTACGTCTCCTTCTTTGACGGCATTCCTTGAGGCAGGACCACACTGATAAATTCCTATGGCATCAAGAAAATAGACCTTAGAACTAATCGATGGTTTTAAAGTAAGCAGATTACTGGGCAGATATTTATCAGTGACTCTTGAATTACCAATTGCTGGTGGCCCATTCTGGCCGTTTCATCCACACAGACCCTCATAGATCGTATTTACCCAATAATCAGTGTGTCTTGCATTTATTCTCAGTGTGCACTTGATCTATTTTATAGCATTCATTAATCTTCAATAGCTCTAGGCACCTACATTGGAAATATAGAAAGAGCTGCAGAAGACTGGCCCTAGAAACCTAATTTGTTTCTTGGGATCCATAGAGGAACTGATGCTTTATTAATTAGGCAGAAACTGTCATTCCGCTTCTGAGCAGGAGAAGAAATTTCTTTCACAGCAGTTTTACAGTTCATTTTTCTCTCTGAAAATGACTGACTTTATGATTTTTCAGCATTACTCCTGGAATGAAATCTGTGTACCTCCACTTTCTTCTTGGGGAGTTGCATCCAGAATTTGCCATCCGCTGTATGAAGGGCCCAGGTCGCTGCGGGAAAACCAGCTTTCATTCCAGACATGGAAATTCCTACATTCAAGAATAAATAAAGCAAGCCCATGGTACGTGTTTCTGCATTTCTATTCACGTTCATTAATTAGTATTCTTAGTTAGAAGTCTCAAATGCTTTACCTTCAGAAGGTTCTTATCTGTGACAGATGACTGTCATTCTGATTCTGGCAATCTTACTTATGCAAGAGTTGAAAACTGCATTGTGGAACTATTTTCAAGGAACTCATTTTCAAGGAAAGATAGTGAATTTTTGAAATTATCCAAAATGTCTTGAGCCTCTTTTTCACCCTCCCCCCCCAAAAAAAAAGTTCTGAGCCTGTGGACTTCCTTACTTTTAGCTGTGCTTCTTATTGTACAAAACTATAGTATTCTTGTAAGCTTCTCTTTGATTTAGGACATGTACAGAACAAGCAGGGAAGCAAACAAGGTAAACAGTGAGGAGCTGCACTCTTCTTTGCTGAATGAAAGCTTATTTCCATTGCATTTGTTACTTAGTATTGATAATTATTTTCACTGCAAATTATTTCACTGCAAGAAATATTTCTCCTTTCTCCTTTTTAGGAGAAGGAGAGGGGAGCTTGTTCTATTGAACTTTTACAGTTTAACGTGGTTTTGGTTTTGAAGAATAACTTCAAACAAAGTTAGGTTCCAATATTTGATATTTCCAGTATAACATCCCATTTTTTCAGTAATGTGTGGCAGCTATAACTTTGTCTATCTTGGCTTCAGTTTGCTGCAGTAACTGATGTTAATTCTCTGCTTTATTAAGAAAAAGTGAAAATACCAAATTTTGTGGCAGCATAATATTTGTTGATCCTGTGCATGTAGTTGTTTTAAAGACAATTTTTTTTAGTAGTTAATAGAGTATTTGTCATCAGAATCTATACTCTGCACCTGAAGACTATAATAGTGACAGGTCCTATTATTAAATACTGCAGAACCTTACCAGACACTGTCAGCTCCCTCATTCAAATGATTTCCAGAAGCATCATAAAACTCATCCACACGCAGATTTCCATCTGCATCGTGGGCAGAGCTGAAGTTTGTAATTGGACGAGTGGGAATCCCCAGACATCTAAGCACTAAAGGGAGAATGGAAAACCACAGTCAGAAAGCACTATTTCCACAATACGATGTTTGATATAATAGATGAATATTCTGAAATATTTTCATGTAGAAAGTGTTATTAGTGCACAGACACTGTGCAGTATCATTGTATGCATTACATAAATCATACCTGTAGTTAATACTGCTGCAAAAACCCAACACTGTCCATATCTAACAGGCTTGAATCCTGATTTCTTCCAGTTTTGCAGGATTTCACCACTTCCAGTCCAGCTGCTTGGACTTTTCCCACCATCATAATTTCCACTCCAGTTTCCTTGTACCACCCCTTGGTCATCATTGGCATTGACCTGTAAAAATATTCACAAAATTTATGATAACATAAATCAAGAGCTTACAATAGATGAAGTAGTGGTGGAGGAGGGGACAGGAGAAAAGCTTTGAATGACACTTTGATGGACAAAAGTCATTGCTTCTTACAGTTGGCCTTCAGGAGGAAATCTCATTGTTTCAGAGAAATTATAGAAGTGTCCTCATAAGTAATGAAAAGAAATTAACCACTGTTTCTCCCACCCAAGTACAGTAGTACCCAGCAAGATGACACACACAAGTTTATGGTGAAGGTTTCTGTTGTGAGGTGGCAACTTTACCACTGTGTGATAGAATGACATAAATGCATATAAGGCAGTGAATCTGTCAAAATGTGCCTGCTTGATAACAGGATGAACTCTTAGCAAATGTATAGACAATGTTAAATTAGGGGAAGGGGCAGATATAAGAACTGCAGAGTCACTTTAAGCATCTTGAATACTGGGTCAACAGAAATCTCATGAAATCCAGTATGAAAATATGCAGAATTCAGGATTCAGGGCAAGAAAACCCCATGCATTAGTACAGGCTGGGAAGTAGCTTGCTGCATGGCAACTCAGCTGAAATGACCCCGGGAGTTACAGTAAGTGCCAGAAATTATCAGAATACTGAAGGAAGCTGTTACAGCTCTTTAATTATCACTGTGCCAGGATTACTGTCCAGCTCCTCTTTCAGACTTCTCAGTTCAGGGGAATGTTGTGGCACTGAGCAGGGTCCAGGAGACGAGCCTACCAAGATGATCATGGGCCCTAGAGCACAGCACTTACAAGAAGCTGAGAGTGCCAGGCTAGTTCAGTCTAGCAAAGATGAAGATAAAGGAGTCTATAGTAAGAGCTTACAACTATTCGTATGGGGCATACAAAGTCAGGAGTCCAACTTTTCTCTGCACTGGTATATTACATGCCAAGAGGCAACGACAGAAAGTTGTAGCTTGGGAAGACCATATTGGACATAAGAGAAAAATTAGTCACTAAGAAGACAGTGCAGCTCTGGATTGGTCACCCAGAGGGGCAGTGAAACTTCCGTCCTTGGAGATTTTCAAAACAACTTGACAAATCCATGGATGACCTGATCTAGTGCCCCAGTAGACCCCCTTCAAATGGGAAGTTGGATTAAAGACCTCCAAAGTGCTCAGCATAACAACCCACAACATAGCTTTGAGTTTGCCTACTGGATATCAAAGCATTAAGTGTGAGACATACATAAATGAAACAAGTCTGGAAGGCTGAGACCAGACAACAACTTAGGGATTTCCCTGGCCCGCATTTCTGCTTTGTGGTGCATACAAACAGTGGCCTAAAATTTTCTGAAAAGTGAACAGTCAGTAGTTTGGACTTTCTGAACATGTTGTTTACCATTGCACTGAGAACACGGCCCAGATATTTGGGATCATATCGGCGAGATACATCTGTGGCAGGATCCTTACGGTAGTTCAAGCTTCGATCCAGCATGGAAAGGCAAATACTGAGGATATCTGCTTGAAACTATGTTATAGAAATATGTTAGTGTATTAGAAACACAGATCATACTGTGCTAAAATATACAGATAAGTAGAATTACGTGAGCATTTAATATTTCTTTAACCATAAGATGAAACTTTGCAGCTCAGCCAAGAATTCCACGTAAAAATGAGCCATCAACAAACCATGGAGATTAAAACTCTTAAGAGGTTTTCAAAACTCAGAATGTGTGGACTGGCAGCCAGGCCTGTGCCATTCTGTGATGCTCCACTTAACTTCGCAGCAGACTCTTAGGACTCTGTGTCCTAGCTCATATCACCAAGTAGTCAACTGCAAATTTTCTCATTAATCAATATAATAGAAGTTGATGTGAGTTCTAACTGCATTACCAGATTCCTGATCTTCTGAGGTGTATGGCTGTGATAAACATTAAAAAATAAACATGCTGATCATCCAGCTTATGTGAAAAAGAGCACAAAGCACTGGCTGCTGGTTCAGTGCTGTGTTTACCTGGCCAAAGTTCCATCCAAAGCTGTTGATATGATTATTGTTGCCAGCAAAAATGATACCAAACTCTTCTAGCACATATTCCTCACACTCTGCCTTGTTAGGCATGAACACATCATCACCTGAAAAGCCAAAGGAGAGGTATATACAATCACAGCGGGCAAAATAAATAAAAAACCTGCAGGGTTTTGGCAGAACTTAATCTGCATTTTTGGGGGGGAGCCAGGGGATCTCCATTCAATACGTGATACAGAGTTGGTTTTATGTAGCAGAAGGTCCTAAGAAACCATTGTATGCTTTTCTTTTCTCACTGCTAGGTTATGTGGTGAATGTTCTATCCCCAACTGCAGAAGTGTAGGTCAAGTGGAGAAACTGGAAATACTAATCAAACTACAAGTAAATCAGTTCTTTCAGGGGAATGCTGATATATTCCTACCTGAAGACCAAGGGTTGAAGAGCAAAACAAAAGTGCCAAGGACTACTGGAGACGAGTTGCCAGCTGAAGTACTTTGAACACTCAGTTTGTAACGTCCAATGACAGCATTAGCTGGGCTGGAAATGGAGATGCTCACGGAGTGGGAACTGGTGGACTGAAGAACTGCGCTCCAGCCCTCCTTGCTTGCTGTGCTGGAGATACCAAATGTGGCTTGGGTCTTGGCCTGCTTGGAGGGTTTTGGACCTTTTAAGGAAAATAAACAACTTTTTTCTTTCCAGCTTGCTGTAACTTGTCAAAAAACCCGTCTGATTTTTAACCCTTCTATTAGATTAATATGGCATATGTTTGAAAATGAAAGAAATTACCTCTGCTAGCTGAGGTGGAAGTAGTACAGCAAACACTTCAGACACTATTTAAAGCAACATGTTGGTTCTGAGGTATTAACTGCTTACCATATAGCACATACCAGGCCAAAAGAATGTGGCTTAGGCATTGCAATTTCTGGGAACGACGTTGGGAGCCATACCTGTTTCTGCGATGAATGTAAAGGTTTGCTCAGGGTGTTCTGTTCCATTGAAGGTGATTACAAAGGCCTGACCTCTCCTCACAACCAACTCTTTGCTAGAGAATTTACTTGTGTGGTGATCTCTCCCATTTTCTTTCACATGCCAGTCGGTACTTGGCTGCGTCAGAGCTAAGAAAAAGTGAGAAGTACATTAGAAGGAGGAAGAAGCGCGTAAACAATTGCAAGAATTTCATGTTACTTTCTGTAAGTAGCTAATAAAAATGTGAAGTTTCCACCACAAACGGAAATAAGTTATTTCTGAGCATTTTATTCTGTTTTGAGAGAGAGAGAGAGAGAGAGAGCTTACACCTTTACAAGATTATTAAGAACTATCTGCGTAATTATTAAAAAAGTAGTATATCCAGTACTAAAGGAAAATCAGAAAAGAATCTAAGAGGAAAGAACTATGAGAGAATGGAACACCTGTGAGTTACTGAATACAGAATCCAACTGAACTCAGCTAATTCTGTCATGGTTTCATTCATTCTATGACATGATGGCTTAATAAGAAATGAAGAAACTAGAATGACCAGAAGGATGTTTCTGCATTTTAAATCATGATGAGTTCCCTAGCCACATTTATGTTACATGTATCTCTGATATAAACACCAGTTCTTATCTGTTGAAAGCACCTAACAAGAACATAAAATCAGAATTATTTGAGTTGGAAGAGATTATTAAAGAATCAAACCAACCCCCCTGCAATGAGCAGGGACATCTTCAGCTCAATGGGTCATTTGACAGTGGGAGAGATGACAGAATTGGAGAGAAAACACAATTAAAATCATGTGTGTGAAATAATATGGCGTGGAATGCTCTTGTGTGCAAGCTGTAGCTTTATCAGAGGCCAAAGAATAAGCATCTGAGGTTGGTTTGGCTCTGACATGGACAGAGCCTATGGAGGGTTCATTAGCAGAAGATTAACTTGATGATTGAAATGAAGTGCAGAAGTACAGAAGGAAAAGATATCAGTGTGTGTGTTCTTTAAAAATAATTTTTTAAATAAGTTAAAAATATTTTATTTTTAAAATAGTTTTTACTCTCTTTCTCCCTCCTCCCCTTCTACTTCATAGAGAGGAAGAATAGGAAAGTCCTTAGTAGTGGGACTGGGTTGTTACTGAGTAAAAAATCAGCATCCTGTGTTCACCTTGATTCATCCATGGGGAGGTGTTCTTTGCAGCATAATCTTCAGCTTATCAAGTCAGGCAAGCCTTGAAATAACTACATTTGTAGCCTTAGAAATACAGTCACATTTCAAATGGGGGGAATACGTTTTGCTTTTTTTTTTCGTCTAGGCAAGCAGCATGTACTTTGATTTTTTAGGAATGTACCTATTTAAAAAATAATAATTTTTAGAAACTCAGCAATAAAGCACATCTGTTATAGAACAGGCTCAGGGGTGAGGAAAACTTGTCTTTAGAAAGACAGAGATCAGCTGCCAAGGGAAATGCAGCAAAGTAGGCAATTTGCATAAACATAAATTTTAGCAGCAAATCAAAAACAGACAAACAAAATCCTTACATTTTTGTATGCTCTCAATTTTAACTTCAGGTTTCAACCTTTTCTGTGCACTCTAACCTCCCTCTGCCTTTTCAATGATACCTTCTCCGAATTGTGCTTCTCCTGTTGTGTCAGATTTGTCGGTCTCCCATTTACACTGGGCTGACAACTTAAAATACCTGCAAACTTTCCCTTCGCTTTCAGAGCTGAATACACATCTTACTGATGTAAGAGAATAACAGAGAACCACAGAAGGGCTTGCCCCTTGCTCACCTTGGCCCATATCTGATCGATATGTTCTGTAAGAGCAGCTCTGGAGTTTTCCTCTCAATGGCCTCCTCTACTTCTGTTGACTCAAGGAGTGATTGGTGTCTTTCACTTATTTAAAGTCTACTTGTAAAGCTTTTCCTGTGGGAGGGTGGAGCTTCAATTGCTCTCTTTGCTTTCCAGCCTTTAATATGAACAAAGGGGTTGAAGATTCTTTTTTTTTTTTCTTCTTTTTTTCCTTCTTAGGCTCAACATTCTGATCACACTTCCCTGCAACCTAACTTAGGAAGCTTGGCCAGTATCATAGAATGGCTTAGGGTGGAGGGGACATTATAGATCATCTGCTTCCAAGCCTCTGCCATAGGCTGGTTGCCACCTACCAGATCAGGCTGCCCAGGGCCCATCCAACCTGGCTGTATTTATGCTTAGAAATCTGGATAGCTATTAAAAGTTTCTTACTGTGTTTGAATTTATAAGTATTTCAGTGTTCAGTTGTTTTTCTTTCTGTTATAATAACAACATTCTAGTAAAGGCATACTGCTTCTTGCGCCACATTGTTTTTAATTTGAAATTCCTCGTGAGCAATATTTACAGTGACATTCTTCTAAAATTAATTCAGTGAATCCATTTTTTTCCTCGAGCTACTTCCGTGAATGCTTCTCAACACTCAGGATCAGCAGAATTTTTGGGAAAGATGGGACAGTAGTTTTATCACATGAAAAGTCCAACTGTAATTTTAAAAATAAACAACCTTAATTCACATATAATTGATTGTGCATTTGTTTCAGGGTTGGAAAGCAGTTCTTATCTTCATCTTTAAGATGAAGACACCAACAAGGTGTCTTTCTTCTATATTCTTCCATACATATCCCTGAAGCACCATGTTACAAACATCTGGACATGACTTATTGGGGACTGCCTCATTCCCTTGGGAAATTGGACTGTCCTGTCTCTCCTCTCATTCCTTTGTTGGATAATTAAGCAAGGAATTTCATCACCAAAATCACTCCTGCAGGAAGTCAAGTATTTTTCTACAGTTATACTATATTTGTAAACCTCTAGGGAGGGCCCTGAGGCCGTGGAATAGCAATGTGGACTGACCTGTGTCAACACTCTCCAGGACCAGAACCTGCTGATGTAGATTGGTCAAGTCTATAAGGAAAAGCACTTGGCTGAGATCTCTTCTAGGTCCTATATATTGCCCAAGAAACACTTCCTTTTTTTTTTTCACTCTTCATCCTCCATTCCAAAGGAGGTGCTCCTGAAATGTGGAGTCCTCAGTACAGGAGAGAAGTAGACCTGTTGGAGTGCATGCAGAGGAGGGCCACAAAAATGTTCTGAGTGATGGAACACCTCCCTATGAGCACAGCTGAGAGAGCTGAGGCTGTGCAGCCTGGAGGAGAGAAGGCTGCAGGGAGACCTGAGGGTGGCCTGTCAGTATCTAAAGGGGCTGTGAGAAAAAGGACAGACTCTTTAGCAGGATCTGTGTGATAGGACAAAGGCAGATGGTCTGAAATGGAAAGAGATTTAGATTCAATATAAGGAGGAAGGTTTTAACAATAAGGGCAGTGAGGCACTGACACAGAGCACCCAAAGATAAGGTGGTGGCCCCGTCCCTGCAGACAGTCAGGGTCAGGCTGGAGGAGCTCTGAACGCTGATGGAACTGTGGGTGTCCCTGCTCACTGCAGGGGAATTGGGTCAGGTGGCTTTTAAAGATCCCTTCTAACACAAATGGTTCTATGATTCTATGAGAATACCTCACTTAGCAGGGCACATGTTACAGCGTGCCAGGAAATTCCTGGAAACTCAGATTTTCCCTTAGGATCTTGGCAGGAATGCTATGGATTTTTTCAGATGGGATGTTGATAGTGACATACACTAGCACGGCAACTTCAAAAACTACCAAGGGACCAGCACCTAGAAATGAATCAGACTTCCCAGACAGCTCCCACATAGCCAGACATGACCTGGTGCTTATAGCCTATTACATTTAAAGGTAATCCCCTACCTCTCCCACTTATACACACATCCCTTCCACTGAACTGGAGTAAAGATGTTATTTGGATGTTGTAATTTACAGTTAGAGTTGCACACTCATCAGAACTATCTCTTTGCAAGCTCCGTTCACTGTTAGACTCTGCTTATTTCTTCTAAGAACTTCAATCCAGCATGACCCATCCTATGGCCAAGCACTCCTAATTCTGGTACATAAACAAGATGCTTGCAGGTGTGACTCACACCTTAGTGGTAATGACACAAAACTGAAGACACAAGCAGAGATAATTGAGTTTGAGGCTGTGGAACAAATTACTGAGTGCTTAGTAGCAGTAATGTGCTGAAGACTGTCAAAACTCTTAGGGAAAAAAGTATTATCAAATTTACAGGACCATTTACAATGCTTTTCCCATTCTTTAGGCATCATCTTCTTTTCTCTTTCTGGATTCTGTTAAACCAAGTCCAGTACAGGCTGGCCCACAGATGCTTTCTGGAAGAGTGTTTGTATTTGCAGGATGTGTGATTTTGGAACATGTTTGTGTGCATATGTGAAAGCAGTCATGGGCACACACACCTGTGCACACATACCTGTGCACACACACACAGCTTTTTACATTAAAATTGTGCTTGGCACTTTGAGGAGAAACCCTGGGTACTTTTGACTTCTCTAACTGAACTTGGGCTTGCAATATGACCTGGGTATTTCACAAGCAAGAGCTAGCTGTGATCAGCAAATAACAGTTTGTTCGTTAAATGCTGCTATTGCTTCTTGCATTTACTGTAATGAGAAAATTGTGGTTAAGAAGGACACAATGATGTATCACACAAAAAAGGAAGTTTTTAGGGACTGCCTTGCCAAAATGGCAAAGTTATTGTCTAAGTCATTGGCATATCATTGCTTAAAAGGAAGTGTTACAATGCAGAAACAATTACTTTGTGGTTGTTTCCCCATTGCTACAGAGGAAAGTTTTTACTGTCTATTTTACTGTCCATACAGTTCTTCTCTTAAAGGGAAAGATTTTCCTAATCACTCCAGTCTTTCAGATTGCCTATCAAATTGTGTTTGGCCATTTATTTGGTCTGCTGAGAGGAGGAGATGGATGAGGGAATCAACAGCCTTATGCCCACTGGGTCCACCCGATTCCCTCCCAGCCCCTGAACAAGTGGACATCTAGATATCTCACACTTAGCAGATGCAGTCATTAAGTAAGCACCGTCAGGCCGGGCAAACAACAGATGCTGCTGATGAACACCAGCACAAGTAGATCAGTCAATAACGTGAATTATTTCAGTGATTGTAATGGATGAATACCTGTATCCTAAGAGTTTCTGCAATTGAGTCTCATCAAGCTTTTTGACCATGGTGTAACTCTGCCTGTTTTAATCTCCATGAGGGGAAAAAACACCTCTCATTTCTGTACTTCATCCTCTGCTCTATGGATGGTTGCTTTTTGATTAATTTCCTAAACTTTTCTAGTTAATGTCACATAAATCCAGCAGAGCGTGAACTACATGCCTGGAAGTAACTGCATTTTTACTGAGTTCTCAACAAGTTGGACCTAAGCAAGAACAAAGCCAATCTTGCTACAGTGTCTTGATTTAATATCTTTCTTGCTATGACCTTACTCCTGGACACCTATACTGATTTGTCTGTATCATAAAGTCCCTTTCACAGTAATTTCAACGTATAGTTAAAATGATATTGCATTTTGCTGACTCTGAATCTCCAGGAAGGAATGTAGTCCGTATTTGTGCTCATGGCACAAATATTCTCATTAACACAAGATTAATTCATACTTGAACAAGCCCTCGATTCATTAAGTTTCACACTACAAGATAGTTTGCAGTTTGCCATAATTTCTTCTGCTCTATTTGCGGTTTTATAACACCTGGTTCTAGCACAGTAATGGACAGATGATCTTTTTTCCTTGTTGGTGTCTTTTGAAAAATTCAGGAAAGAAAATGCTGAAATAACCTATTCAAAATCTCAGTATGTAGAACACTTCAACAGTTCAGAGCCTTTTACAGATAATAACCCTACAGAATAAAAAACATACGGTAAATTATTCACTTACCCATCCCCTACTCAGGAAGAGATTTATTTGTTTGTTTATTTATTTATTTACTTATTTATTTGCACTTACCAGCCATGCTTCCTTGCTCCTCTGTGTCTTGGGCTTTGTATTTCTGTGAGCAACTGGAGAGGTTTATGATAAGACTTCAAGCTTTGGCTGCGTGGCAGCATTTATAGAGAAAACTTTAGGCCTCTCCTTCAGCTCAAACCAATTGTAATTCACATTAGGTGGGTGAGGCAGGTAAGTCATTCCAGTGGGCATGTAAACTTCCTAGTGACCATATATTAGCTCATGGGTTTTAACACACCACACTTATGCAATTCAGGCTATTTATCCCGAGGGTTGACTGAGATGCTCAGAAAAGTAGAACATTTAATTGCATACCTGGAATCCAGATTTTCACATCCAATGATGCGTCACTTGGGAAGAGGAGAGAAGATTTTTTGAGTCAGAATGAGTGAATATCTTTTCCTAGCATGATCCACAGATGAGTGTTCACAAAATAAAAGTATATATTCCTAATAAAATTAATATAGTTCCCTGTGCATACTCTCATAAGTCTTACAGTGAAACAACAGAACTTTCCATTCACCTCAGTAGTCCTTGATTTGGGATCACTGAGTCTTTTTGGGCTCAGTGATGCTTTTGTGTCAATCTCCCCTTAGAGTCTCTGTGAACAAATAGCAACAGCATTAATGCTGTACATGTCAAGTAAGCTGCTATTAAATTGATGAACCACTGAATGGTGAATAGCTCTGAGGAGTGGATCTCAAGCAGTAATTCTCCCTGCACAAAGGGAAACTTCATCCTCATAAAATTAAAGAAAACACTCATTTTGTAGCAGGTACAAATTAAGACTGTAATTTGTGCTTCTGTGGTGATTACTCAACTAGTTTCTGACTATAAAGGCACAACATTAAAAGCTAAAATACTTTGATCTGCATG